AGAGCTTTTCACTCAGCACCACAACACCAGCATCAATACTTATTAAGTGGCGTAATATTAATTTTCTTTTTACAGAGACACCAAGTTTCACCAAAATTAAAAGAATTTATAGCCAAATTACTCTTTGTACATCAGACTAATTAGTATTTCCTCACACACAGGCTTCATTTTGTGTGATGCATGCCCACCTGCTTTCCAGAAATGCTGGCACATGCATAAATAGACCTTAAAGGGGGTTTGAGCACCTGCCGTTTGGCCTCCTAGAGAGAAAGTTCCCTTTTTCTGTCTTTTTAAAAAAAATAAAAAAATAAATTCCTGTTGGCAGGCAGCCTGCCCTGCTGAACAGATATATTGATTGAACCAAAATATCAGGTTGGGAGAGTGGTGCTCTTGGGTGATGCCCTCTAACCCCCTCCCTCCTGGCTTCCTGCCACAGCAGCAAGTGCTGTGTGGGCCCCAAGCTGTTCTATGGTGAAATAATGCAAGTATACAGACACACAGACCCTTGACAGTCAGCGTGAGTCGGTCAGTGTGATGAGCTACTTTAAAGCAGATATCAGGTTTGTGCCCAAACAAGTATAGATATACTGTCCAAAAAGATTTTCAAACATTTTATCACATTGTTTCAGTATGTTTTGGAGGGAGGAATGTTCAAATCCTAATCTTTAATCAATAAAATAAATAACCCAGTGTCTAATACACCTTATCTAAAGCTTATGTGTTTCTGTTTAGAATTGTGTATAAAATGCATGATATCTTCCAAGACCTCAGTATTATGATATTGCAATCTAATATTATAATAAACCAGTAATTGTATATTAGCCATACAATATCAGCATCTTCTTATTGTCCATTGTTACTCAAGCAATTATGCCTTCTATGGAGAGGTGGTAAGAGGCAAATATGTAGGTGGAGAGAGAGGCAGCCGTGCAGCCAGAGGAAGTGAATTTTTTGTCAGCAGTATTAAGCCGAGTTATTGCAAGTGAGGATGTCAGTCAGAGGGCTATGTACGAGTTTGGTTGTGAGGAGAATTTACTGAAACACACACGTCTTTGCATGTATCATAAATTAATTGCCATGTAGCAGTGTTTTCACCATTTTTTTGAAATGCATACATTTTAATACCCCATTAATGGTGTTGCAAAAGTCATCCCTTTTATGAATTTGTTCATGTACCAGTCTAACATCCTTTGCACGTCCCTGCAGATATGCACAATACTGTCAAATCAGCCTGATGTCAGGTCTTATTTAGCAGTGCATGTACATCAGATGACGTGTGGCTGGGCTATTTTACATCTTTAGTCTTTGTGAATATTGTGGCAAACTGAAACAAAATTTTGTGTCCTTGATGCAATTTTTTTGTCAGGAATAGAAAACATCCCCCTGTTGTTTAAACAAACTATGGTTTGCTTTTATTGCAGTGATCACAGAGAAAAACAGACAAGAATACTGTCAGGTGGCTTTTTGCACTTACTGTAATTTCAAATGCATTTTCACTTCAAGCAAGTTGAGATGATTGTGATTCAATCACTGCTATGAAAGTTACTCTGACAAAACTTATGTTGCTGTCAGATTACTTTTCAACACACAACTGTACTTTGTCTTTTTGATGAGTATATTTGACTTGATTTGAATATCTTATGCATCGTGCCCGCCTAAAACCTGATAATAACAATCTTCCTACATTCAACATCCAGCAGTCATGTTCCTTCTGAGCGTTCAGCAGGTGCATATCGCTGTCTTATCATGCAACGCTTGGCCCTTGTGGAGATTATATTTACTCTGTGCTGCCGTAAGCACCTTTCCTGACAGATTATATGAATTAAGGCCTTATTATGGGCTCTGGCCAGGAGCTGCATGTACCGGTGATTTGTAATAAGGGCAGCACTGAGGTGAGTCAGCAGCGACTGGCCTGATTACAGCAGCTGGACCTCAGGAGGAAAACCCTTGGCTCATCCACGGTAAACAAAGACAGCAAGGTAGGAAGGACACTCCATTAGCTTCTTTGTACTTTGTAGGTAGGGACAGTCAGGTAAGACTTTAAGCTCAGAAGGATGAGGGCCAAAAATGGAATTAGTAATGTAATCCAAGGCACATACAATAATAGTGTATTTGTAGAATGTTGCAAGAAGAAAAACCACAGAAGAGCCAGTTTGGTTCATAGGAATTAATCAATATTTTATATTCTTTTGTAGCAAAATGTTTTCACACAGAAACAGTTCTTTTTTTTTGTCCTAGAACCTCAGGTGAGAGTCATGACTATGTCAAGTCAAGTACACACTTAAATTGTATTCTTAGTTAGCAAAATGGAAGAGGATGTTACACGATGTCACAAGCAGCAAAAGCAGGTTAAAAGGTCATTTCACCCAGATGACAAAATTTCTTTAAAATCTCATTTACTGTATCTCTAGTGGTATCTATCCATGCAGACATTTTTGGTTTTATTTATGCAGGCTTTGGGATATCAGTCTTTGAGATTTCTGCCTCCACTCCAATACAATAGAGATTAACGTTGATTTCCAGAGGAAATTCTTTGGAACAACCATTTAAACTCAATATTCAATTATTCTTACAAAACTTTTCTCTCCATGTTTGCCTTTTGACAAATTTCGTACTTTTACGTGTTCAGCTGAGCACTGATTAAACAATTACACCAATCATTACTCCATCAATTACCAATTGCACACGGTCTCCATCTCCTTTATGATTAGTACCAAATAAAAAAATAATCATAATAAAAATTATTATGCAAAACTATTCATGTTTTGTGGATGCCTACACTCCCATTGTAAGAGTGAGTGATATGGATAATGGATACAGTCATATTAAAATGATATTATTAGATATTATTTTTATTATAGGGCTTTCTGGAATTCAATTGAGAGGAACAGCTAATTCCATTAAAGTACCAAACCTACAATCTGTTAAAAAGATATAAGAAATGTATAGAATATCACCCGACTTATCCTTTGAGGTACTTTTCTATCATTTGGTGATTTGGAATCTTGAATTGAAATTGTCCGCAACGAATGGTAACACCCACAAAAATGAAAGGGATAGCTACTATGCTATAAATGTTAGTCCAACCCCACTGTATTGTGGAATCTCCCAGAGGGATATCTCGAAACCTGGGCAAATAACACCAAGAGTATCCACATAGCTAGATACCACTAGGGGTAAGAGAGAAAATATGTATTTTTGTAATTTGTGTCAACTGACCCTTTATAAACATCCTTCACTTCTTGTAGTAACGTGTAAAATCCCATTTCAATGAGCCAACTAAAAATGACCAAGTTGGTACACCACAGTAAAGCACCTTCTCACTGTTCGCTTCACATGAAAATAAAAGTACTACTGCACGATTTCCCCCCCTTTACATTCTCACCCAGTTATTGTACAAAAAATGCCAATATACAGAACGGTACACCTAGGGAAGAAAACAATGATAAAAAAAAATGATGACCACCCCACATCTTGAAATGCAGCAGAGATCCATAAGATATTGAGAAAGGCATCAAAATGTGTGGGCATTTCTCAGACGATCGTAGGCAGTAATTTGAACAGCCACTAATTCACAGTACCTTACTGCAATGTACAGCTCTGTATGAATGTGAATGAAAGGTAAATGGTTCGTTTGATGAATCCATTCAAAGAATACATAAACCAACAAAGGTTCTGTATCATGCAATTGGGTGAAATAGATTTCCAGAGATTTTTCAGCAGTTTGGCCCTTAGAAAGTTATCTTTCTGCCATTCTCTCCACTTAATCTTCTCTCCTAAATAGCATAATGACCTTTATCGAGCTAATAAACTTAAATTTGGACTCATTCCACCATTTAACCTGGCTAAATGAGCAATTGTCTTACTCTCTGTTAAAGAGAATTACAGCCGAGTAATACATCCTGCTGTAGGGTTAAGCAAATGATTAAGTGGGCATGATGGATTTCAAACACTATCACCGTATGGCGACTGTAATATGTGCTGATAGCATCTGAAACCGTACCCTGAGGCAGACGCTTTGTTTACATCAATGGCCTTTTAGCCTCCAGGGACCACTGTCACCAGTGTTACCCAATGGGGAGAGTATCAGAGCATTCAAAAAGATGTTTTGTCACAGCAGGAATTCAACCTGAGCTGAATTGGATTGGTTTGAGATCAAATAATTCTTTGAAGCATTTGCAAACAACTACAGAGCTGTTTTGAGCTGTTTGTGATCCATCTTGTGTTGTTGTATTTCCATTTGCTTTCACATATATATATATATATAT